CACACCTGGCCTAAAAGGTTTATTTAAAAAAATGAAAAGGTAGGGCAGGGTGACAGGATCCAATTTTGGTTTACCTGTCATCTATGTGGAATATGGTGAGTCAAACATCCTGGGGTCAGGAAGAAACTCTTAATTTAGGAGTTTCAGCCCTGTGCAAACTATCCCAAGTATTATCATGGGGTAGAAAATTCCTCCTCCAGGCTGCTGGAGTTTCCTCGTGGTAAGAAGGAGCAATGTGCAAACAGTGGAGCCAGGTAGTTACCGGAGTTTGGACCTAGGCAAAAGGGGAAGAGGATGTTCCCAGGAAAGGGCTGTGGATCCAGAAAGCCCGTGTCCCTGGAATTCTGAGTGGAGACATGAAGATCTAATAAGAACCAGTGAGAAAGTGGTCACCTGTGATTCTGGGCTTTGAAAAATCACCACGATTATCTTACGTACAAATGCTTTCCCATGGCTTACTTACTTTGAATGAGACTAAGCCGCCTGATGGGAGAGTGGAGGCTCCTGGTGAGGAAGGACAATGAGGAGAAGCTGGAATGGCTAAGGGAGGCAGCAACGAAATCCATCATCGTTACCATACAAAGGCATTTATGAATGTCTCCTTGCACATGGCGAGCACGAGCACGTAGGAGTGCTCAGAACAGAAAAGACAGCACTTAAGGGGTAGGTCAGGAGCGAGGCATGGTTCAGGATGCCACCAGGGGAAGCTAAGGGAGCAGCGCTGAAGATGACTTGGGGGAGGTGCAAGCTGGGGAAGGGAGCAGCTTAGATAAGATGGCTTTGCAGGAAGCTGTCCTATCTCTGCCTGATGACAGCCCTGGGCCCATGGAGATAGGCTGGGCTGGCCCCTCTGGGATCCACAGCTAAGTCCAAACCCTGCAGAAAATGGGGCCAGGGGCAGGTGAGGCAGTGGAGGCAAAAGTGTGATACAGGAAGGGCCTCCTGGCTGGGGACCCAGAGTTACTCGACATCTCTGAGCTGGTGTCTTCAGCGGTATTCTGGGACAACAGTCCCACCTGCCTGTTATGGCTGTTGAGGACATTAGAGCTTGTTTTAAAGGCTTGCCACAAACCCTAATGAAGATGAGGATGGGTTTCACCCCTGAGTTACTCCAGGGGAGGGACCCAGGCCGATCTGAAGAGCAGATTAGCAGGAAAAGGAGCAGCTGGGCACTCGAGAGGGACAGAACTGAGGCCGGCCTGGTGCTCAGCGACACTGCAGCTGGGGACAAGCGGGGCTGTGGAAGGCAGCTCACACCTGGCAGGGGATGCCCTTCTCCTGACCCCGCCTCCTGGGCACCCAGGGACCAGAAGAGGAGGGGAGGTAACCACCGCATCACCGCATTTCAGCCCTTACGTGCCGTCCGTGTTGCTATGCGGCAGTCGCTGCGATGAGCTGAGTGGTCTTGGTGATCACACGTCGCTGGGACCGTGAGGCTGTGGGGAAAGAGCAGGGACTGACCGTGGCTGGGTGGGGAAGCCTGGCCCTGTGCCCACAGCCTGGGAGGGGACCATCAGAGCTCCTCCTTGTTGTTGTCAAGGGACTGGACTGGAGGCCCTGGATCCGGAAGGGCATCTACTGGCCCATGGTCGCCAGAATGCTGGCTGCTGTCCTCCAGGTGCCTGCCCACGGCAGCATAGTCCCGGAGGAGCCTGCTCTCCACTCCGTGCTGCCGAAGGCTCTCGGTACTTGCGAGCCCCTGCATTCTCAGGTACCCCTGCTGGCAAAAGGGTGGCAGCTTCTGGCGCGTTAGGGCGAACAGGAAACAGGACTCTACACAGAAACAAAAGGAGGAGAAGAAGTCAGGCTGGGAGGTGTGGGGAGAGGTGCAGGAAGAGGACCTGCTAATGCCAGGGCCTGGGGGCTTCACTGGGGCCTGCACAGTATCTTCTATCCCTTGAAACTGGGAGCTGACCCTCCTGGGCGTCTCATGTCCAATGGGAGCAGGTCGTGCATGCATCATGACCCTCCATGGGGCTCCAGAAACAGGAGGCTGCCTTGACATTTTGGAAGAACAAGGCTCCGAAATGAAAGCAAACCACAGAAATGCCTCAGCTCCCACAGATCGGGCCCAGCACGACGCTCTGCACGGAGCCAGCCTGGGGTGGGAGCCCTGTCCCTCAGGAGCAGTCCCTCAGCCTTCTCTCCTGAAGCTGGCCTGGGGCCGTCCAGAAACTCAGTGGTCAGTCCCATTTCGAGTTCAGAGCTGCCTGCAAAGATTTATTCCCTCAACAAAATGTGAGTTGCAGATATTGTGTGCAAAGTTCTGTTCTAAACCCCCTGGGGGACAGAAAGATAAAACAGGTCAGTGCTCACCTACACTGCAGCACAAAGTTGGTATGTCAAACTGGTCAGTCACAAAATAGCTGTGGATACGTATTACTTAGAAATGTGAAGAAACAACCCAAAGAAGCTATGAGAAGAGAGAAGGAGCAGCCTTAATAGCTAGAAGTAGTCTTTTCTGGGGAATGAGAATGGAGAGGGGCGAAGGTGGGAAACAAGTCTTTTAGCCAAGTGCGTCTGTGACTTTGAAAAAACAGAAGAGGTAACACAGATGTGGGCCGAGCCTGCTGAGGGAGAGACGGGGTGGGAAGACGGAATGTCAGAAGCTGGCGGAGTCCCTGTGTAACTCTGAGCAAGCCTTCTCACCTCCCCAATCCCCTTTATCTCAAGTAAAAGACGGGCACGGTACGAGGCATGTTGTGAAGCTCACGGGGGGACCAGGCTGAAGGGTGCCCCCAGACATCGCTGTGCTTTATTTCTGACTGTTAGCACAGAGGCCCCGGCAGGACAGGCCATGGCAATGCTCTCTGGGCAGGGAAGAGAGCAGACGCGCGGGAGGACAACAGGAGGGCGCAAAGTGGCCATCTGGCAAGCACCACCTTCTGATGATGTCACCCCTCTGCAGGCCCCGGGGGCACAGAAGCCCAGCAGAATCTGGAGCCAGCACCAGCAGCTGCCACAGCTACGGGCTGGGGGGAAGCCACTCTGCCAGCTGCCTTCTGTTGGGAGGGTTCTTCCAGGTCAGGGCAGCGGCACATAGTGGCTTGCACTGTTGAGCAGTATCTAGACAGTGGAGACAGGAGGCTAAAGGGCCTGGGATGATCCACTGATGGGACCCACAACTCTGGGTGGGAATATGCTCCCTAACACACTGGCATTTAGGTGTACTCCTGAAACCGTGAGAAGCAGGTAGGTATTTTGGAGTTGAGAACTCTAGACTCTCAATATGTAATTTCATGTGAAAGTGTGTGATCAAGGTTGATAGTCTGCAGGCTGCTGGTACTACAAAGTCGCTAAATAATTTAAACTACTGTTTCAAGCCATCTCCGATTGTATCTACAGTATTACTTCAAAGTGGACTCAAGATGAAACAAGAACACTTGCTCTCTGACCTGTGGGCTAGAATCGGTCTCTAACCTGACTTGGTATGAACAGTGCCTGATGTTTAATAGATGATTTCTCAGTTAAAAAAAAAAAAGGAATGGATATTCTAGGCATTCAAGGGTTTAAAAAAGACAAACATTTGGCTTGTTTCCATCAATTCTCCCTCTGGGTCATCCTACTTCTCTCCCCAAGTCCCTCTTTGGGTTTGACTATCAGATGTATTTTCCAGTTGATCACTTCTCTCTTCTTACCTGTCTGGTGAATTGCTGAATCTTTACACTGAGTTTCTAATTACCTACCTACCTATCTATTTAGAACAGGGTCTCGCTATGTTGCCCACGCTGGTTTTAAGCTCCTGGGCTCAAGCGAGCCTCCTGCCTGAGCCTCCCAAGTAGCTGGCATTACAGGCACACACCACCGTGCCCAGCTACAATTTATTTCCAGAAGTTCCATTTGGATTTTTCTCAGAACAGCCCAGCTAATCTTGATAGTCTCTATCCCTTCATTATATTTTCAATAATCTTTTTTATTTCTTTAAATACACAGGTTCTGTATCCCTTATTGAAAATGCTTGGGACCGGAAGTGTTTCCAATTAGGGAATTTTTCAGATTTTGGAATATTTGCATTATACTTACTGGCAGAACATCCTTAATCTGAAAGTCTGAAATCAGAATTGCTCCAATGAACATTTTATTTGAGTGTCAAAAAATTATGGATTTTGGAGCACTTCAAATTTCAAGTTTTCAGATTTGGGCTGCTCAACCTGCATGAAACATACTTTATATGCTATACCTGACCATGAACCTGCAGTCTTTGTAGGTTCGATCCTATAGCTGGTTGTTTTTGCTGACACTCCCTCTTGGTAGTTTGCGTCCTTATGTGTTAAGTGATTTTTGATTGGGAATTCATGTTCCTTGGAACTTCGTGGGAATTCTTTGAGGCCTAGTTTTAAAGTGTATTTCTCAAGTATATTTCTCAAGATAAGATGTGCCTTTGCTTCTTTGATTTCTGTACCACAATGACGTATAAACTTTGGCCCCAAATTACATAAGTGGGGCCTGGTGGTTGGAAATTTTCAGGGGAGATTTTTCCCCCCACTTTATCCAGGACCAGGAACTATGCATCTCCTTGGTCTCCCTCTTGGGAGTGTTTCTGGCTCCTGGCTTGCCCCTGAGATCCAAGCTTTATTCGAGGGTCTCTGAACAGACTCCCATCCTGCTCCAGCCTCATCCTCCCAACCCCAGGCTGGCCAGCCAAACCCCGGTTCCAGGCTCCTGTGACCTGCAGGCATCCCAGGCCCAGCAGTGGTCTGTGGTCTGTGCTCTTTATGGTGTCTGGCCTCTGGGGAGTTCCCTCATTTTCCTGCTGGTTCCTTAAAAAAGACGTATTATTTCGTATTTTTAGGTGTACTGTCCTGGGAGGGGGTTTCTGTGAACATCTAGTCCACTACATCATAGGAAACAAGAGTCTGGGGTTCGGATTGGTCAATAGGGGTTCTCAAACTCCAAAGGCATGGGTCCACCCAGCCTTTCTTCAACCTCCCCCTCAGTCCCTTTGTCCTCCTGGGGACTCAGGTTACCTGCATAGAAGCTTCGTAAATCCGTGTCCAAACAGTTCTCCAGGAAGCGCCTCAGAGGTAGAATGTGCCCAACGGGGGCGGTCCAGTCTGTCAAGAAGTCTTCCACGATGTGGTGGATGGCCGCGGGCCGAGGCAGGGGCCAGTGCGCAGGGCGGAATCTCACCTCCTGTTCTGTAAGGGGAGAGAGGGAGCCCCGTCAGAGCCGAGAAGCTGGCTTTCCTGCCCTCGTGCCCACATCCCAGACACTTCCCTCACTCACGCTCTGCTGTCCTGGGCTGTGGCCAGCTTGTTCCCCAGCCACCTCCAAATACGTGGAGGGCTGGCGTGAGGAAGAGGAACTAGACTGTCTCTGTGGTCTCAGAGAGCAGAACTAAGACTAATAACTTGAAATAGGTGTTTCTCCAAGACTCACGTGGACGGAGGTCTACTGCGGCTGCCTGAAAACTGGTCTTTCTGTGGGAAGATTCAGAGGCCCTGCCCTGAGAAGAGTCTCAGAGCTTACGGTGTCCAGCTTCCCACTGGCGTGGCCTCCCTTCTGTGGTGTCCCTGTCAGATGGCCACCAAGCTATGACTGGAGCATCCCGTCCTGGGGAATCTGATTTGGGGCTGACCAGTTCCACTGCCGAGCAGCTCTCACTAATTACTCCTTATGTTGACTACAGACCTGCCTCCCTGTCACTTCCACCTGTTGATACCACCTCCGCCCTTGGGGACAGCTCCTAATAGACCACCCTCTTCCACGTGACTGCCCTTCAAGCTCTGCAGCAGGAGCTGTGTTCCCCAGGGGGTTCGTGTATGGGTAGCTACTCTGTGCCAGCACGTGCTGGCTGGCACTCTGTGTTCATTGTCAGACCTTCACACGGTCCCACATGGAAGGTACTATTGCTGTCCCCACTTTACAGATGAGGAGATTGAGGCTCAGAGAGGTTAAGTAATGGTCCAGGGTCACATAGTGATGAAAGGACATAGCTGGGAATGCTGCCCAGCTGTTCTGTACTGTGTCAACCAGCCCCAGTTCCTTCTAATACTCAGTCTGCAGATCCTCCCTCCCCCTACCATGGGTAGCTTCCTTTGGAAACCCTGTAGCGTGACACTGTCCCTCTTACTCTGTGGTGCCTTGGAGGAGAGCCTGACAATCCACGTGTGGCCTGTGCAGGTGACAGCATGTGCCAGAATCTGCCAAGTATCATTTATCATTCTCACACCTCCTACCCCTGCCTGGTCTCTAGGTGGAGTCCCCCAGCCGTCCCCCTCTGTCAGCTGAGGGTGTTGCACGAAGGTTTAATGGTGACAACTCCACAGACAGGGTCGGAGGAACGCCGCCTCTAGAAAGCCCCTGCTTGGGGCAGGGCAGCGGTGGCTCACCGGTGGGGAGCTGTCTGTAGTAGTAGATGACGGGATGCAGGAAGTTGGACTGCCAGGCGTCTTCCGTGTGCCCCACAGACCGGTCGTGAAAAAAGACGTCCTTGTCGGGTCCAGAGAAATTTTTGCCATATTCCATGTTGACGACGAAGAGCCCGTGCCTTGCCTTCCTCCCTGTGAGGGTCTCCAGCTGGGGCAGCATCAGCATGGGGAACTCCTCCAGGTACTCGAAGGCGGTGGCATTCCTGGGGAGAACGGCAGCGCGGGGGAACCTCAGCGCCGAGGCAGAGGTGAGGGCATGGTGCGTGGGCGTGTGTGTCTCTACCTCCAGGAAGTGTCAATCAAGCAGTGCAGACTCCGATCGGCTCCACACACCTCACTTTAGTGTGACTATCACAGCTGAGCCCTCACTAACACAGGGGACAGATGCCAGAAAACCGTGTAACCTGAAATGGATATCTGGGGAAAGAGTGTTCCACATTGAAGGAACAGTAAGAGAAAAGCCCTAAGGAGGGAGTGAGAGCCTTGTTGCGTTCAAGGAATAGGCAGAGGCCAGCGTGGCTAAGCGGAGTGAACGGGGGCAGAGGGCGGGAGGTCTGCAGGGGTGGGGTCAAGGAGGGCTGTGCCTGTCGTGACAGCGACTGCAGATTTCACCTGGATGGAGAAGGGAAGCTGCTGGCCGTGGGGGATGCTGAGCAGAGAGAGGACCAGGGTGGCTCAGGTTTCTAAGGACCACTCTGGCCACGGTGCTGAGCACAGACCACAGGCCAAAGGTGGGAGGCTGTCGAGTCAGCGCAGGTGAGGGGTGCTGGTGATGTGCACCGAGGTGGCAGGTGGAGCTGGTGAGAGCTGGTGAGATTCTAGACATAACTAGAAGGTAGAGGTGACAGGACCTGCCCACAGTTTGAATGTGGGGTGTCATTCGAGAGAGGGGCACCAAAGGTGACAAGTCATGTGAGGTTTCTGCGCAGAGCACGTCCCTGGACTTGGTGTGCTGTGACACTCGCTGCCTTTAGATTAGGCTGTTCCCCAGATGAGAGGAACTGGTTGTTCCTCTGCTGTCACCCGCCACCTCTCCTGAGTGCCCTCACCCCTCTGGGCTCTGCACTGCTTCCTTCTCAGGAACCGTCTGTCCTCTGTGATCTGCCGCTCATGCTTGACTGGTAAGCACCGTGACCAGCATGGGCCTGGCCCGAGGGGACTCTCAGACCTGCGTTGCGGGTGCCTCACAGTTGCCTTGTTCACTGTTTATGTACTTGGTGCCAAAGGCTTTCTATGAGTGACCTTTCCTCCTTCCTTCATTGCTGCAAGGTAGGCATAATCATCCCCACTTTGCAGATGAGGCGAGAAAGGCTCAGAGAGGCTACCGAACTTGCCCAAGGTCACACAGCAAGAGAGTGGTAACCCTGGGGTTCGCTCTCAGGAACCTGTCTGACTGACTGCAGAGCTTGTGGTGTTGATTTCGCTGATTTTCCCCCTAGAATAGACTCCCCTGTTCCCCCCTTGCAGGCTTCGTCTTAGGAAGGAACAGCTGGGTATTCCATCCCTGGAACAGGCACAGAAGCACTATGGCGGGGTGGGGGTGGGCTAGGGACAGGCTACTCACTCCTTCAACAGGACGACATCGGCCAGCACACTGAACATCTGGTAGAGCCCAGAAGCCTCGTTCACACGCCGGACGATGGAGCTGGTCAGCTGTGTGATGGGGAGCTCGGTGGAGGGCCAGGCGACGCCGTGGTGGCGATGCTCCAGGAGCCGGTGGACGGCTCGCGCTGAAACGGCCAGAGCAGGAATGGCATGCGCACATTTTACTTCTGGTCACTGGGGGGGCGTGTAGGCCTTGCTGACCCCTTGGGACCCAACACACACTTGTTTGCACGGCTCAGGGCCAAACTTATAGGTAGGGAGCAAGTGAGGGAGGGACCGCCGAAGCCCTTGGAGCAGGGCCGGCAGACGTTTTCTGGAAAGGGTTGGATGGTCAGTGTTCTCTGCCTGTGGGTCACACACTACTCAGGGACGCTGCCCCTAGTGTGAAGGCAGCGGATGACACAGAAAGTGGGGCACGGCTGCGTTTGGGCTGCAGGCCGGAGTCCGTCCACCCTGCTGTAGGCCGTCAGCACGTGGGAGCCCCACTGCCCCCACCTCACACGAGGAAGGTCAAAACCAGACCCAGGGCCTTCCTCGGAAACCTCTCCCCATGAGCAGGCCCTGTTCTGTCAGAGTCGCCCCAGGAAAGCTGATTGCTCTCGCTTTCCCGCCCAAATCCAGCCTGCCCCTGGGTTCTATTTTGAGATGCCCTGTCCATCAGGATAGAAAGCGACTGCTGTCTAGAACAGCAGGGAGCCGGTCCTCTGCATGCCTGGCGCTGCTGCACACAGCTGTGGGAGCGGTACCTGACACGCAGGCGCCTGCTCTTCCAAAACTAATCAATAAACACCCAAAGCCAATAAAGGTGAGGGCACGCAGACAGCTCACGTGAAAGGAAACCCAGGGGGCCAATAACCACAGGAGGAGAGGCTCGGCCTTGCCACGTGGCTGGCTCGCTGAGCAAGCGATGGTTAGGATGGTTTTGCAACAGGTTTAGGGATCACACAGCTAGACAGCGTGGGGAGGGTGCCCTGGACAAAGGGAATAATGCATGCACCGTATAACCTTGAGACAGCCCTGCACATTTGAAAAGCAGGGTTTGTGCGGCGAGGAGGCACCAGATGAGACTGAGGGTGGGCTAGTGCAGCCCTTGCAAAGCCACTGATGTCACTGGGCAGCTGGGGCTCTCCCCGGGAGGACGCGGAGCCACTGAGCGGAGGAAGGAGGAGATTTTTTTGTTTCAAGAAAGGTTGTTTTGGTGGGTACCATGGTTGGATGGGAACTCAGAGGGACCAGGAAGAGCAGCCAGGGGAGACAAAGCTTCACCTTTAAGACCACCCAGCTGGGGAGGAACCCAGGTTAGTGTTCTTCCTGCTTGGCATCCTTGCAAATGCATAGTGCTTAACCCACACGGGGCTTGTGCACATAACACACCACTCCCAGATGTACCCATTTTTACACTTTATCTGATACTTTTCTAGATACATTCTCAGACCACCTGTTGTCATCTACCCCAGGTAGGGAAATTATGGCAGTCAACTACTGATTAGCAATCTCTCAACGCTTCTGGAAATCAGGAGTGTTTCTAAGCCCTGGGGATACTGACGGTGGTTCTGTCTGGGGACAGCAGCCCTCTCAGCTGGGCTCACCTGTGTACCGGAATCCGTGGATGAAGCCCCCAGCAGATCTCCTGTAGTCCACCGAGTGGCTAGCGGTACCCAGGATAAAAAGACCTCGGCTCCCTTTGGACTCATAGCTGGCTCGGATCAGCGGGTACTTCATGTCGAATGGATTCCCCGAATTGAGTCTGAGGGACCTGTGAGTGGAAAGGGTTGTTAATAAAAATAGCTGTTATGTACGAAGCACTTATCACAGGCCTGGCACTAAGCGCTTTACATTAAACCTCACCATGACCCTGGAAGTGGGTGTAATCATCTCCATTTAACAGATGAAGCAACTGAGGCTCAGGTTAAGGACATGGCGGAACAGAGCCAGGATCCAAGTCTGACTCAAGGCTGGGCTCTGAACTAAGACTGGGTCCTGCTGTCACCTAATGGGAAAGGAGGGGTCTGCACAGGCCCACCAGCTTTTCCTTGTCCTTTTGTGCCCTTGTCAGAAGGCAAATGAAAGACCGGGTGGTTGCTTTTTTTTGTTTGTTTGTTTGTTTTGTTAAGAGATAGGATCTTGCTCTGTCACCTAGGCTGGAGTGCAGTGATGCAGTCACAGCTTACTGCAGCCTCAAACTCCTGGGCTCAAGCGATCTTCCCACCTCAGCCTGAATAGCTAAGACTACAGGTGCACCACCATGCCCAGCTAATTTTTTTTTTTTGGTAGAGATGGGGGTCTCACTATGTTGTCCAGGCTGGTCTAGAACTCCTGGGCTCCAATGATCCTAGCACCTTGGCCTCCTAAGGTGCTGGAATTACAGGTGTGAGCCACTGTGCTCTGCCAGGATGGCTGCTTTGATATCGAGTCTCACAAGGTATTGGGCAGCAATCTTTGGGACTAGGCTCTATAAAGCAGTTCTTCAAAATACAATTATAAATAATTTTAGCAACTAACATTTTATTGAGCATATAGCATATGCTAAGCGCTTTCTTATATTAATCTTTGCAATAACCATATAAGAAAAAAATTATTAATCCCATCTTAGAGATGAAGAAACTCGGGCACAGCATGGTTAAGTAACTTTCCCAGGGCTTGCAGATTTGGTAAGCAGAGAATCTCGGGCCGACCCCAGAGCCTGTGCTGAGCCACCATGCTACACTGCCTTCTGGCAAATTGACCTGCGTGTTCTGCCTGAGCTTGATTTCCCACCTTGCAGGTAGAGGCTCTCAAAGCAGACGAAGACCTGCTGCTGCTGCTCCCCCAGGACAGAGGGCCTCAGGGCCACCTGAGACCCACAGTAGACAGCTCGTGTCCTGAGAGGGAGATCAGGCAGCACCCACATCCGTTCTTAGACTGCTGTCCTGAAAGCCCTGTCGCTGGCCTACTGAGTGGCCACTGTGTTCCCTCAGGGAGGGGTTTGCCAAGAGATCCTACCTCCTCCCCCATTTGGACTCACTTATTGAAAATGGAGAAGTCAAAGTTCCAGCCCAGGCAGCGGATGACCCGGTCATAGGCCACACGCATGGCAAAGTTGTCACTGTTGTCCTGGGGGAGGGTGATGGAATCGGCACTCTGGTTGGCATTGTTTTCCTCCAGGAAGAATTTCAAGGTGACATGGAACTTGCCTTCGTGATCCTTCACGATGGCCAGATCTGTCAGGTCAGACTCGAGCAGCCCGTCCAGGGACTTCAGCTGGTAGGTGTCCAGCAGGCCATTGTTGATGGCTCTGGGGCCCAAAGAGAATGCAAGGGAGAGGCGGTTAGTCCAGCTGGGGTCAGGAAAGGCTTTTGGGGAGTTCTCCCCATATTTTGGGCTTACACTACTACACACACAAGCAGGGATGTGGCATACCTGAGGTCTCCAACGTAGTGGGTGGCCCAGGACAGCCGGACCCGGGAGCGGCTCAGCATGTGGATAAAGTTTGTGACCCCCAAGATGTTCTCTGCCGTCTCAAAGGCTGAGTTCCCACGGCCCAGGATCAGCACATTCTGACCCACAAAGTCCTCGGGGTCCACAGACACGGACTCATAACCCTCCACATATTCGGAGCCAGGGAAGTTAACTTGGTTGGGGACTGACAAACCAGTGGCTACAAGAAGGACACTGTAGGTGGGGACAGAGGAAAGATGGCTTAGTCTCTTAGCTATAAGACCACCAAGCGAAAATCACTCTCTGGGCCCAGCCGCCACACCCCGACAGCTGGCTCCTAAAAGAAAACAGGAGGACAGTCATTCATTCATACGTTCATTCATTTGTCTATCTACTGAACTATTCCAGTGTACCTGAGATGCCCCGCCCCTGCATCTCACTGAGCTCCCAGTCCGGCGGATACACATTCTCCTGCACCAGGGATTAACAATGCTGTCTGAGGAGAAGGTGACACTACGAGAAACTGAGTAATTCATTTAAGTTTGAATACAGCAATCAGACCCAGTATCGCCCTTGGTGATGGAAATGAACCCTGACGTTCTACTCTTCCCTTTCTGACTTGTCTAGCAGACGCTAATGTCCACCGAGCAGTAATTCCATCCCAGGCTCTGTGCTAAGTGTGTCTGTACATCTTCTCATACTTCTCAAAACAACCCTGAGTTGGTGTCACGTGGCCTGCTTTACACGTGAGGAGACACAGGTCTTGTGGGCCCACAGGCCCACAGCTCCTAAGGTCAGTAGGCCTATCTAGGCCTGATTCCAAAGTCCCGCTCTTTATACTGGTGGGGACTACAACCAGGTGGTGGGCAGCTGGGAGCTGGATCCTACCAACCTGCAGAAGAACGATTTGACCACAGGGTGGTTTCAAACACAGAGCTGCAGGGCCTGCAGAGAAGGCACATACAGCTCCATCAAGCCTTGCTCTCTGATCCTTGTCTACTCTGCTCCATGGTAGCGCAGCTGCCTAAAATGCAAGAGTCCGCGTCGCTGTCACTGTTCTTTCCCCGGGCTGTAACAGGCAAGGCCAAGTCGGGGCCTCCGGCAACAGGCTTGAGAAGATGAACTCCGGCAGAGTGCCTGCGTGGAGCCAGGTGTTAGGCTACCGGCCAGAAAGGGAGAGACAGTCTGGTGCAGCAGAGAAAACACAGGCTTTGGGGTCAGGAAGACATGTGCTCAAATTGCGGCTACACCACTTATTAGCTGTGTGACACAGCACCAGTTACTCAACTTCTCTGAGCTGCAGTTCTTAAATGAGGATCAGTGAATTTCCCCCACAAGGTCCCTGTGAAGATTAAACAAGTTTGGGGCTGGCCACACAATATTAAACTGTCTCCCAAGCTAAAGAAAGCTAAATCTGATTGCTGCAAGTACTGCCTGCGGGGCCTCCCACTCTGGTTCACTTCTGAAATCCCAGAGGGCTTAACACTTGCTGGACACTTGACCCAGGGTTTCCCCAAACATATTTTGGGGAACACAAGTTCCAAGAGATGCTCTGCATAAAGGGTTTTGTGGGTTCATATGCTGTATTTATGCTGAATACTTTACCCAGTGCTGGAACATCACAGGGAATATGAACATATTAAAGACTGACAAGTCCTGGAGGCAAAAAATTGTTAGTATTTTCCAAACATATTTGATGGCAATTTTTTTACGACATTTGGGAAATAATGGCTGACGGAACCTCTCAGCACTGAATTTCAGTGGGAGCGAGGAGCGGCGGAAATGCCCCTTTTCCCCCATTCCTCCTCCACCTACCGGCCAGCCAAGGTGTGCCGTTTGTCTAGGAAAGGCTCCAGCTTCAGCAGGTCAGCTGTGGCGCCGGTTCCTTACCTGCACTGGTAGGCCTGGCCCGTCTGGTCGGTCAGGATGAAGTAGTGGCCATTCCAGGCCTGTCGATCCTTGTCCAGAGTGACATAGGTGATGGTGGTGTTGTAGAGCACGTGGAGCCCCAGCCTGTCTGCGAAGTCGCCCAGGTAGCGCACCATGTCGCGGGCGTCGGGGAAGTAGGCCTGCGAGTAGTGTCTAAAGAGCAGCAGGGGGTCGTGGCTGAGCAGAGAGTTCCAGTCGTGGCGGAGGTTGAACTCGGCGTTGGCCTTGCCCGTGAAGCGCTTGTTGATGCTGATGAGCTTGCGGTGCCGGGGGTAGCGCGTGAAGAAGCTGCCCGGCGCCGGCGCGCGTTCGAACACGGCGTAGTCCCTCCCTGCCCGCTGCAGGAAGTAGGCCATCTGCAGGCCCGCGGGCCCGGCGCCCAGCACGCAGTAGTCCCGGTGCGGGGGCGCGGGAGCCTTGGCGGGGCGCACCGACAGCGCAGGGTGCAGGGCGATGGTGAGAAGCAGCCCTGGGGGGCCCCACAGCGGGGCCGCGGCGGAGAGGCCCATCCTGCGGCAGACCAGAGGGGTGAGGCCTCGCACCGCGGCGGCCGGGGTGCGACGGAGGCCCAGAAACGGACAGGGCCTTGCCCGAGCGCTCACGGCAACCTGGGCCAGGACTAGGACCAGAACCCAGGGACCTCGGAGCTCATTTGCCCCGACTCCTTTTTTCCAAGCTGGGACCTGGGGCTCCGCACAGGGGTCCTGGACCCCTGCATCGCCTCTCCTTCAGGCTCTGGTTTCCCAGGGGCGCCAACACCCTTCGTGTGACCATGGTGACCTCCGCCCTGGGGAAGAAGAGGGCGTTCCCCAATTTTCCCCCAATCTGAGGGGTGCCCAGCGCCCCTCGGGCGCCCTCCCAGGATAGACCCCGGAAGGCTTGCTTCTCTTTGGCGGTGCCCCAGCGCGTGGTCCGGACCCGAAGGAGGTGTGGTCTGCGGGGCCCCGCCCCTGCCCGGTTCCGCGCGCCCCAGCCTCTCCGGCCACGTGACAGGGATGCCCCAGCACACCTGCCGCCCTCCCGCCGCCGCGCTCCGGAGCCGGCTGGTCGCGCCTGCGCGGTGCCACGCCCACAGCTTCCGCTTCCCCGCCGCCGGCCGGTCCCTCGCAGGGCTCGCGCTTCCCAGCCGCTCCGACCAAAGCCGCAGCCGAATGAGGGCGGACTCGACTCGCTGGTGCCGCGGCCCCGCCTCTCGCGCCCACGGGCCGGGTCACGTGCGCGGCGCGCGGCACGCCGGGACCAGCTGGCGGGCTCGGGCTCCCGGCCAGCGCGCGGGAGAGGGGCGCACGTGCTGCGCGCGCGGCCACGCGGGCCGGCGGCGGGGCCTGGCAATGTGCGCGACAGCGAGGTGGAGGGGCTGGACCCTCCTTTTAAACTGTGCCTCTCCACATGTGAGGGAGGGGAGCATTGAATTTTGGAGCTGATCTAAGCTCTTATATCCCATTAATGTAGCCAAACTAGTTGGCCTACCCCAGATTGTGGGACTGGAATCCAGTGGGGTAAAGCCAGGAGAGATAAACCAATTAACAAGCGTTTGCTACAGTGATTCAGTGTTGTGTTTAGTACGTAACATACTCGACTCACTTTGATCTTCCACCCACCAGGAGAGGTGGGCAAAGGATTCTGTTTCCAACATATGGTAGTGACTGGCCAATTGGAGGCATAGGGGTGAAGTGATTTGCTTAGGATCACACAGTTAAGAAGTGGAGCCTTGGCCGGGCAGGGTGGCTCACCTCTGTAATCCTAGCACTCTGGGAGGCCAAGGCGGGCAGATCCTTTGAGCTCAGGAGTTTGAGACCAGCCTGAGCAAGAGCGAGACCCATCTCTACTAAAAGTAGAAAGAAATTGGCTGGACAACTAAAAATATATAGAAAAAATTAGCCGGGCATGGTGGCGCATGCCTGTAGTCCCAGCTACTCGGGAGGCTGAGGCAGAAGGATTGCTTGAGCCCAGGAGTTTGAGTTTGCTGTGAGCTAGGCTGACGCCACAGCACTCTACAGGCAAGAGAGTGAGACTCTGTAGCAAAAAAAAAAAAAAAAAAAAAGTGGAGCCTGGAATTAAAACTCAGAGGAGGCAGCATGAATGGCAGGAGGATGATAAACTGGATGATCAGGGTTGGCGTCCCAGGGGTGGCATGTGGCCCCTACAGGAGAGGTACATGGGCAGAGTATTCATGGTGGAAGCACAGGAGCCTTCAACAGGCATCACAGTCCGGTGAAATGGGGCTGAGGCTTCTCGTGGGAAGGCAGCGTGGAAGAACTCTGCGGTCTCACAGCTTTGCGCGGCTGGAGCTTTTCATTAAAAATTGTAGCCAAGGACTCTAGAAAAAACTTCCCTGACTCCTCAGGCCAAAGTAGTCACTAAGGAAGGCTAGTTATCTGTTTTCTTCACAGCCTGTACCAACACCAGAGAAAAGCTCCATTAGAGCAGAAATTGTCCACTATCTGCCATACAGAAGTTCCTCTGCAAACTTTTTTTCTGCCTAATACGATCTGCAGGAAAGCAAGCATTTGTCGAATAAGCACATAGCCCTCCAGATCCCCAAGTGTGGCCCCTCAACTGAATCCAAACTTCACAGAACAAATCCCTTTATTTAAAGGATTTGTTCTGTAAAATTTGGTTCCAGTCAAAAGGCCACACTTGAGGACCCAGAAGGCCACATGTGGCCCCAAGGCCGCAGTGGGTGAAGACTATGAAAACAGGTGCTAGCAAACTATTAAGTACCTAAAATAGTTGCCAGTCTTATTTGGTGAATACAGTAGTGGGAAATTAGACAGGATTGGTAAGGTATGTATGGCAGGGCCCTAAGACTGGGTTGAACACAGATTGTAGACAACAGGATGCTACTGGAGGTTTGAATGCAGGATTTTTAGCAGTCACCTTGGGAGCCCCATGCAGGACAGGTAAAAGCAGTGGAAGATGATGCATAATTATTTTTAGAGAATGAGCCTGAAGTCACTTCCACTTGTTCCAGTTAATCCTGCTGGATTGGGCCATGGGCTTTCAAGAGGTGATTTGGTGAATACTGCTCCAGACTCAAAACCCCTGGCACCTGCCACACCACTTTCATATGGATTTCTAAACACCATTTACATAGAAAACTCCCCAAGCAAATTTTCCGCACTCTCTCCAGTACCTCTGACAACAAAGTTCAATAGACTTTTGCTTGCCTTCTGAGGCTCAGTTGTTTTGATTAAATCTGTAACGTTAGGAATCCTACTCAAAAGCTGGGCCTGTTCCCTCATCTATACAATGGTATTACTCCCACCGGCATCACAGTTCTGCATGAGGCTCAGATATTTGCAGAAAGCTTAGTGTAGTACATGGTAATTATTTCACTAAGCGTCCGGCCAAAGCTAAACTTGTCAACAATTTACAAACCATTACAATTGCCCCCCAGTAGAACATCCATCGAGGTCTTCTGAGGCAGTCTTCCTCAGGAGCAGGAACCCCGCCTCAACCATGCCCTACTTTGTGTCCCAGTGTTTCTTAGAGACAGCGAACTCTCTAAGGTCCACAGTTGGGTCTTGCACACAGCCAGCAAGCACCCATGCTTGTGGAAATGGACTTCTTACAGGTACCCCCATAAGGCACCTCACAACTGACAACACTGCTCATGAAAAGATAAATTTCAAGGGGTTCCTGGAACAAAAAAATTTAGGGCATCCATCACCTAAAAGGAATGTAAAACTAACAACGCTCAAGAACACATGATGGAACCCAGGTTATGAACTCCAGATAGAAACTGCTGAATCTCACTCCCCCTCCCAAGGGCTACTTGAAGAAGAGTAAATCGTTAATGTGCACCTAGGATGAAGGAAGAGACTAAACAGACTTATATTTTATTCCATCTGTCAAGTGTCAGAGAACAAGAGTCGAACACTCCAAGGCCCTTCTGGACTCGGTGGAATTACAAATTCCAGCTTCACATCACTGTCTGGTTTAAGTTTCTTCCTCTGAAAGACACAAAAAATGTTAAGAGAAATGAGCCATGTTGTGTGCTGTGATGTTCTTTCCTTTCTGAACCTCTGCTGTGTATGTATGAATTTTCAGCACCTCCACTCAGAAGTTAAGCTTTTCAGATCCTTATAGGGCCAAGAGCTGTTTCACTCAATCACCTGCTGGTGTAACTGACTTGGAGCAGATCTTTTGCCCTCTAGACCACTGACACTTCCATCAGGGACTTCCACTGCCTTTTTCCAGATGCTTCTGCCTCAATCTCGCCACTTCTTTGAAAGATCACTCTCCTCCCTACCTCTTCATGTGATTCTAAAGGCTCTGGAAGCAGCTCTGGGAACCAAAGTGAATGGTTCTCCAAACCCAAGTACCAGGGAACTCTCAAAAAGTCTTATCAAGTTAAGGATGACAGTGGCTATAGAACTTGCTCCCATGCTAGCCCACAGATCACTCTAGACTTCAGAAAGAGGCTTGTTACACACCTTCTTCTTCCTCTTCCTCCTCTTCCTCCTCCTCATCATCTTCATCAGAGCTAAAGGTGCCATCGGGCAGGCTGTACACTCGGATGACCTGCTTGTTGGGGTCCTTGAGGATGAGGTATTTGCCTTCCTCCAGCTTCATGCAGATGTCGATGACGCAGCGCAGAATGCCCCAGGCGTTCTCCACGCTCAGGTTGATCTGGCTGGCAAACTCATTGGGCTTGAACTGCTGGGTGCCCAAGATGACGTGGCGCGAGGAGTCTTTCACATGGTACCGAGACACGTAACTGGTGGGAGGAAAGGATATCAGTGGTTGGAGCAGAGAGACAGCAACACTTGGGGTCAGATGTCAATTAAATGCTGATGCTTGGTCTGCTGCTACTTCAAAGGAAAAAGGGGAAAGATAAGCCTTCACCTCCCTACCCAGACCCCCCCTTTTCAGAAGATCAGCTCACAACTCATGGGCAGCAATCTCACCCAAGCTTGAGGTACTCAGATCCAGCCAGCAGAGCACAGCAGGTCCACCGGGCCAACTTGTAGCTGTTGTTCTTCAGCTCAGTGGCAATGACGGCCCCTCGCTGAGAGTCCAGCTTCTGACGCCAGTCAACACCGTTACAGTGCTGCAGGAGGAAAGCCCCGGTTACAGGAGCGGGGGCAGGCTCCTAATGCCCAAGGCTCTGGGACCTCCTCTGCCAGAGAAGCTGCCTGGTCTGCCTGACTGGAAAGTGAGGATGCACTGAGACTGTTATCATTTCAGGGACAAAGACATGTCCCTCCCCTTGCACAGCCT